TGAAAACATTCATCGAAGTAAATACAAGCATGCTTTACCTTCTATTCGAAATGATTTGGGAGGAGGAACAAGTGCAGATGAACTGGATTGAAAAAACACCTCATCAAGATTCCAAGGAAAGGAGGTCTGTGCATTGCACTACTGTCAGTACCAGGAAAAGTGTTGCTGAACCGGGTGAAATATGCAGTAGACGCCCAACTTCGAGATCAGCAGGCTGCATTCCATAAGGATAGGTTGTGTATTGACCAAATTGCAACACTACGGATCATCGTCGAACAATCAGTTGAGTGGAACTCTTCAATGTACATCAACTTCATTGATTATGAAAAAACACTTGACAGTGTAGATAGGAGAAAATTATGGAAACTTTTTCGACTCTACGGAGTTCCTGAGAAGATTGCCAACATTATATGGAACTCATACGACGGACTACAGTGCAACGTAGTGCATGGAGGACAGCTTACAGACGCATTCCAAGTAAGGATCAGAGTCAGATAATGCTGTCTACTCTCTCCTTTCCTCTCTCGTGGTGGTCGACTGGATTATGAAGACCTCGACATCTGAGGGAAAACACGGAGTACAATGGACAGCTCAGAACCAATTAGATGATTTGGACTTCGCAGATGACCTTGCCCTCCTATCACATACACACGAATAGATGCAGACAAAGACAGCCAGTGTAGCAACAGTCTCTGCATCAGTAGGCCTCAGCATACACAAAGGGAAAACCAAGGTCCTCAAATTCAAAGCGGAAAACAACAATCCAATCACTCTTGATGGCGAAACAATGGAAGATGTAGAATCACTCACATACCCGGGAATCATAATCGATGAACAAGGAGGTTCAGATGCAGACGTAAAGGAGATGATTGTCACAGCAAGGGTCGCATTCCTACAATTGAAGAACATATGGAACTCAAAACAATTTTCAACCAATATCAAAGTGAGAAGCTTCAATACCAACGTCAAGGCAGTTCTAATGTATGGAGCTGAAACTTGGAGAACTACAACAACCACAATCAAGAAAGTACAAGTATTTATAAATGGTTGTCTACGCAAGATACTCAACATCCATTGGCCGGATACAATCAACAACAGCTTTCAATAGGAGATAACAAATCAGCTTCCAGCTGAAGAAGAAATTAGGAAAAGACGATGGAAATGGACAGGACATACATTATTCAAATCGTCAAACTGAATCTTGAGGTAAGCCCTAACTTGGAATCATGAAGGGAAGCGGAAAAGAGGAAGGCCAAAGGACACATTAAGTTGCGAAATAGAAGCAGATATGAAAACGATGAATTACAACTGGACGGAGCTAGAAAAGATTGCACAGGACAGGGTTGGATGGAGAATGCTGGTGAGCGGCCTATACTCCTTCACGAGGTGTAACAGGCGCATGTAAGTATACTCTGGGCTTCTATTTTTACTCGTGAATTGTGTATCTTGTATAACATGGCACAGTCTGTGTGTAGCATATCGATTAATTATCCAGTTTGGTGGTGTAATAAATAAAGACTTGGTTAGAATAATCCAGTTTACTATATTAAGCAAAATCAGACACTGCATTTATAAAGTATGAAAACATTTCATTGGATGCACCATTTCCTTAAATTATCTCTTACAAGTTCCATCGTTCTTTCATTCCTGCTGCTACTCGAACTGCTTCTACTTTTCTCTCTTTTCTTATTTTCCTCTTCTGTCAATAAGAATCCTACCTGCGATACTTGATTCATACTACTTATATCTTGTGGTGTCGGTTATTATTTTAAATCCATGTACCTTATTCTAGCTTTCGAACAGACCAATCTATTCATTCTACTTGAGTCATATTTTGACCTTAATAATTATTCGCTTATCCATCTTGGCTGATTTTTTATCAACGCATATATGTATGTACATTTCTTATCCTAATCATCACATGTTTGTAACTTATTTTTGTGTGACTATAAATATTGATCGACGCTTGACTAAAGTAAAGGGAGTTGGCTCACAAGCCTTCTCCACTGCGCGTCGTTCCGCTTCGCTTGTCCGATATTTTGTCTGGATCAAAGATTGTGTGAAATATACGTATTCGAAATTCATTCTCGTATTTGGCTTATTTAGTTCCGTTATTGACTAACTCAATTTAAATCAATGATTATATACGAAGATAGGCGACATATTTTAGTTGCCCGTGATCTGACTACAAGTAGTTCGTATAAATGATTGTTATTCAAATATATGTAATATGATATCAACCTCTAAAAGAAACTTCTAACTAAATTGATCGTTTTTCGAACACTGTAAATATAAGACTAGTCATTATCGTCAGTAGGAATAAATTATAGAGGGTAGTTATAAAAAAAAGGTTTTATCATATTTTTTCTCTCGTTTCTGATGTTGGTATGAAAAGTTTAGCTAATTTACTGACGTAAATATCCATGAATTTATTTGGACTTCTTCATGTGTCTTACCAACCAACCGATTTTCCAAAGAATCATGAAATTAAAATTAAATAGGAGGAGACATACTACTTATTAAATAATGGTTAATAAAACTAAAAGGTGTGTTTTCAAAGCTTTGTTTCGTATTTTAAATTTTCTCACAGGTTCATTATCCTTTGAGAATCATGATGATTCTGTCACTTACGGATTGTGTAATCTATATTTAAATGATAATTTAGAACAAATGACAAAACTTCGTGATGGTCAGATTTTGGAAACCTATTATGATAAACTAAATGAATGTATAAAAGATATGGAAGATTGTGGCGTACGGCTAAAGTCTATGGTTAGTGTTTTTGTTCTCTGATTGCTTTATTTTCGTCATAGTATTGCGTTTATTCTTTTTATTTATCGGTATGGTCCACATCACAATCCGTTGATCGTTTTCCAACCTATTGGATGACCCGAAAACACCACATTCCTGAATCATTTTTTACAGTTCCACTTAAAATTTTCACACTATTCATTGTTCAGTGATATATTCGTACTGTTTCTCAACTCCAACTCCAATAGGAAAAACGAAGGGACTTCTATTTTTCTCTTTCATACTACAACAACTAGAGTAAGGACTTCAGTTTCCTAATAGGAATTTTGCTAACAATTTGCTTACATCTTTCAGCTACTATCCCCATGTGTCTATTATCATGTATGCTTAATACTGCATTAAAGCTTACACATATATTCTTACTAGCTCAAATATTGGCCTATTCATACACTCGTTCTCTCTCGTTGGTATTGCCATCATGTGCGTAGTGGCTTTGTGATCTGTGCTGAACAATCGTAAGCTGTAGCCATTGCTTCGCATTGTTTTCTGAAATTTGTGTGCCATTGGGAGTTATCTAATAACGGTTTTTAGGACAAGTGATAAACGAAATTCCCCACTAAACTGTAAAACTAATACATCATTGTCCCTTATTTTGTTGTGCCTTTTTTGAAAACGCTCACCAATATTTACCAGTACACAATACAATAACAGAAAAGATACATAGGATATCCGTTTATTGACCTAGTAACTCATGTCTATTGTCCGAAACAAAATAGTGTGTTCGTTCTGCATTACTGAAGCTGCTGACCAAATAATTGTTAAAACGTTAAACTCTACAAAGCATAGTTCTACTTGTGGTGATATATAAGTCAAATAGATGATTTGTCAGAAGATCTAAAATATACCGTCAGTCTTGAATGATCAATAACTTTTGAAACGGAAGTCAATAAGTAGTTATCACATGATTTATGAACCTTTGCATATTGAATGATTTATGACAGTAAACATGAAATAGCCAGGTTTTTTAATCTATGATTTTTAGCGTTAGGAGTACGGTTAGAGTAAGAGAATACTTTGTTTTTATTAATGCACAGGTTACCCGTCCACGGGTTTTAAATCCCATGCACAAATCCTAAAGGTCGTCATCTGAACTGGGATCGAATTGGCACTGTAAGTTATTTCCATCATTGTCTAGTTGTATAATAATGATAATAAGCCATCTTTGTTTTATTATGTGTATGGTAATTTGTCGATGTCTTTTCACCGCTGATTTGTTTGATTAATGAGTTTTTGTTTAAATTTTTAGCTAGACCAATTGAATGCTTTGAGACAACTAAGTCAAAATGAATCAATTTACCAACAGTATGCCACATGCCAATCGACATTGGACTCATCCGTAAAAGTAAAAAGTGATTCTGCACTAGATGATAACAGTTTGTCTACTTTAAATTCGACTCGATCATATCCATTAACATCATTAAAACAACAAACACAACAACGGAAGTTCAGGGAGACTTACTTATGCGAAATATTGAACATTGAAATAAACGGACTAATCAAACAAATTGAACGTGATTCAAGCATTCGAAAATATTTAGTGAAAATTATATTACCTAGCACTTCACATTATTTTCAAGTGAATACTTTTGTTCAGGATAATGATGATGCTGTCCTAACAAAATTTGTGTCAATTTGGCGTCATTTTGGACAATATGTTTCATGGTTTACTGTTATATCAATGTCTGAGCATATTTTGAAAACTTTCAATAATACAAACTGAATGAATTCATATAGAATCATGTATATATTTATGCACCTTTTTTGTACCAGAAATGAGTATATTATTTTTGCTGTGTTGGACGTTTTTATTTCCACACCACATTCGATTGGTATGATTGTCATTAGAATATATTTGGACACAGTTTTCATCACAAGACAACAGTCCTCCATACGATACGCTACTGATTAATGTATGAAGTGCAGACATTCTCTAACAAAAATCAATGAAACCGAACTCTAAATTATGATCAGTAGGTTGAAAAAATTACTCCAATTTGACAGTGAACATCTGTAATGAAAATAACGGAGCGTTAGGATAAATTTGTACATAAATGCCCAATGAAAAATACCATGACTGTCAGTCAGTGAAGTCGAAGTGGATGTGTTGGTACGAGAGGAGACAAAAAGTAGCAGTAGCGATGTACATAGTCACCAAGATCCGTTGCAATTGATGATAGTGTACATCAGGAGGATCATCAGATGACTTTGCAATGGTCTCCAATTAACCCATACCCCGAGCTATATATTCACACACTTCGTGTTGATAAATGGAAACGTATTAAGGTCGTTTATGTTCGTCCGTAATGTGTTTCAATGAGAACTTCTGAATAAGAATGAGTGGAACTTCGTGTTGATTGTGTGCGATAGCATGGTTTGTTTACCAGGTCGGTTTGCAGTGATCACATGTTAGTTGTCGAATCAGGCCTTGTTGATTACCGATACTAGTATCTACCTACAAATCAGTGAGAAACTGAGGATACGGATTCTTTTCCTTGTTGCACACTAACGTGTGGTGTGGATTTGGCGATGATTTCTGACGTAGTTGATAGCGTGATTGTGGGCTTTACTTTACGATGGTTTGTTAGCTGTCTTCCACTCAAAATCGTTCACCACGCATGCAACATTGGCGTTGGTCTGGTGAGTACAGTATACATCCGCCGGTGATTATGATGCTTACGCTAGATATTGTAATGTGTTATGCTTACAGCACAGCGTAACTAATTAGGGTGTGTTCATAGATATCGAGATAAAGCCATCTTATTCTCATCTCACAGGTGGTGGTAGAATGATGGGAGTATTTATCGATTTGTGGTTAGATCGGTGGACGTGTTTTTTATTTGGAATTATTCGTTTGGCATCAGGGTAGGTGGTTAATGCAGTGTATAGTCTTCGTTGATTGTCCATCTAATATCATTATCTTCAAAGGCGGCTTGACAAAGGGTGATTGAATGCAGTTTCTTCTATTTGCTTGCCTCTACTTCTCCGCCATCTGTCCATTAACTTTTCTTTAGACATTTGAAATTCTATCATATCCACGTTTTATATTCGGACTATAGAACTTGTAGTACAAGATGGTCCAGCCTTTCTTAAAAAAAATACTTCTTCATGGTCTTCGAGAAGCAGTACATAAGACACTGAATGGTTTGTGTGCGAAAAATATCGAACCGATTCACTCTTTAGCATATGGTACACCTATTGTTATGCCATTGAAGTCGAATGGCAAGACCTCCAGAATATGTGGCGACTATAGATTAACGCTGAACACCCGTTTGTAGAACCAAACATGGATGACGGTGAAGTCCAAAGATATCCTAAATCGACTTCGTGATTTTAAAATGTTCTCAAAAAGTTGACTTAAGAGATGCTTGTCGTCAAATCTTTTTAGACCAATCCTTACCTATTGTGACGAGAATTAACACACCTTTTGGTCTGTTCAAATGCAACTTTCTCCCATTTGGTTTCAGTTCTCCAATTATATTTCCCCGACCGAAGCTGCTACCTTGACGCGGTGGTCGGGCTTGCCTATCGTGATGACCCAGCCGAGTTATATTAGCTGGAACATATGTTTCTGTAGGTTCTACCATGCCAGGAAGGTCGATTGGTGAACGGTAAGACTAAAAGCAGCAACTCAAGGTCTGAGGGCGAAGTCGTACTGCTGGCTGTAGAGGGGTGTGACAGCAGTAAGGTGTTTCCCTCGGACAACCAGCATCTGCAGCGATGCTGCCTTCCCACAAGGAGGGGTGGATTTAGAAAAGGTCGACCCTAAAAATGTCACACCTCATTTTACCTCACGGATTTCCGTCTCCGGCGGTAAGGTCCTTTGAAGAACGGAGCTAACACGTCAAAAACCTTCCACGATGGCGATTCCGTAATTGAAGGATGTTACCTGGTTATGCCACTTCTATGTGATTCTACGAATCCAGCTGCTTCTGTCGAGGAAGCTATTTTGTGCGCACTACCAGGCAAATGAACCAACGAGTTAGCGAACAACTCTCTTCGTGGTTGGGAAAAGGTTACGTCAAAACAATACGCAGCTCGGTTCTATCACACTTGATCGATAGCGGTCATAAAGTGGACAGAAACAGGTCGTTCAAAGTTATTTATCGTATTCCCACTAGTTTTCCTTATGGTGTTCGATCTCATCTCTTATATATAGCAGAAGCTATAGGAATCCGAGCCAACAAGCAAAGTCTTTGTGTTCAGAAGAAATTTGTAACACCCTTATCTCTCCCCAGGCCCTAAGTAATAATTGAATTTATTTATTTATTTCTTTTCTAACTTTCTCTTTGTTTATTATTTTTCTTCACCCCCTCCTACCACTTTATTTTCTCTCAACTATACGTCTCATGGTCCAAGTATCTGAACATTTCTTATTACGTCATCTTATAATTTTATAATTGTTATATTAGTTTCTATATTTTTCTAATTATTGACCTATTTCCGATCATGTAACATTTATTTTAAACCTTTATTATTCTTATCAAAACGAATGCACCTGTTGTCACACCATCAATTTGTACTTTTCACGTTTCATTTATTATGTAATCGTTTTCATTGTTATCATTGACTTATGAACTACCTTGGTTGGTTTAGTAATTTCGTATATGCATATAAATATTACTGTATATCAGAGTAAAGCCTGATGAGGATCTAATCGAAAACAATATTGTTCGCTTATATATGTTGTTCTAACTGGGAATTGTTCACAGATGACTCACCGGAAACCATTAGTGATGCTATCACTTGTCACCTTAAATTCTGTGTTGATGTTTGTTGTCCCACTGAAACCATTTTTGTAAGTTTTGATCGACTTTCATCTTCAAAACTAAAACGACTACGGAGGGTGAAGGAAAGAATGTACAAGGAAAAAACTCTAATGAAGTTCGTAAGCTAAATGGTCTGATAAACCTAGAGATTAAACGTCAAATGTCTATGTTTACTCAAAAACTCTTGTCTTGCCAAACTCTGCAAGTATATAGAAACTCTTTAAAGAACTTACAGGTGACTGACAGTTTAGAAGCCATAACCAGCTGAATGTTTGTGACTTAAATAAATATTTTGTACGTCAGTCATCTGATATGATGCTCCCTTTATCCACAGGTTTAAAGAATAGCTGTGTTCCTAGTCTCACTGAAACTGATGTCCGAAGATGTCTCCAGTCACTTAATTCATCCTGATGTTTGGGACCTGGCGGTATCCCAAACCTCATTTTTAAGAAATGTGTTGATATCCTGTGTTATCCATTCACGACTTTCTTTAACAGATCCTTCTAATCTAATCTCATACCGAAAATGTGGAGAATGATGAAGATAATCCCTGTACCAAAGAAAGTATCTGGTGATAGGAACGTGAAATTTAGACTTATTGCAATAACTTCACCCTTCCTCAAAACAATGGAAAAATTATTAATACTTCCACTTCGGCCTGCAATAAAAGAGCATAATGATCCGTATCGGTTTGCTTACAGATGCAAAGGAAGCACCTAAGATGCTGTTGCTGCTCTGCATTACAACATGGTGTTCAACTTAGAAAAAGGTAAGAAGTATGTTCGATGAGCTCTTCTGGACTATACTTCAGCTTTTGATTCTGTACCAAGACAATATCTAATTAACAGGTTAATCGGCGTCAACACTGACAGCTGGATAACCAACTGGAGGAAAGTGTTCAGAGTCTCTACTGTTTTTTGAAGGTGTATCACAAGGAGCTGTTCTTTCACCACTTTTTTATCTTTTTTTCTGCATGATCTGCCTTTTTCTACAAAAAACACTTTTTCGAAATATGCGGATGAGCTCACTGGGTGTATGCTTATATCTTCCTCTTTATATCCCATAGAAGTGATTGAGTTTTGGCCTCGTATTGATTGTTAGTCTGTTGGTAATGGTCTCATACTTAATATGTCTAATTGTCAAGCTGTTAACTTTAGCATGAGGCCATGTCGTAATCTAAACAACATTTTGAGATCCCGTAATGCTTGTACCATCGGAGACTCTTTGAGAAAAACAGTGTCGATGGTCAATTTTCTCAGTGTTCCCTTCTCCTCTGATCACTCTTCGTCTTCTCACGTTTTATTGTTATCGAAGAAGGTCTTCCATCTGACTTACTACATAAAGAGATTGCATGCTCTTGGGGTTACTCGTCATTTACTCTTACAATTTGTCAATTCTTGCATATTACCTATTATTACGTACTGTTCTCTATTATTCCTCCGGGTTTTTTGGGAGAGACTGCTGTATTGTGGAGAGTGGTGAAGGTAGTCAGCAAGATGTTTGATCAATCTTTCGAGGTCATAATTAATGTGGTTGTGGATAGGCATCTAAAGTCATGCAAACTCCTGGTAGGTGTTATTTTATCAGATATTAACCATCCTCTTCACTCGTATCTTTCTCCTTGTATATATCTTTTGGCAGAACGAGACATAATTACATTAAATTCCATGCACGCAAGCAAAATTATAAAAGTTCTATAATACCTTACCTAGAAAATATACTCTGTGACGAATAGGTTGTTAGAGTTAACCTAGTCAATAAACTTCATTCTTAACATGTCTCTAATTTGAAAAGTTGTACAGTTTTTCGTTTTTTCATTTTTTGGTCTTTGTTTCTGTGCTTTTTTTGTGTAAAAATGTTGTTGAAATACCCCGTTCTGAGAATTCTATATTGTGCCAAAATATAATATTGAATAAAGCTATTAATAAATAAATATGCATTAAGGTTTGGGTGC